AGTACCACCAGAAAAACAGCAATCCTATTTAAAACTGATCCTTCTCACACTTAAATTAAGAGATTTTATTCAGATTCAACTTGTTTTCCTCTCCCATGTTTATAGCTCAGCTCAGTTCATCTAAACCAACAAAGGATGTGTGTGTAGCATGCCCTCACATTGCCTGTTGACTTATGGCGACCCTATGAACTTCATGGGGTTTTCTTAGGCAAGTTATACTCGGAGATGGTTTTGCCAATTCCTTCCTCTGAAATATTGGCTAAAACATAAAAATTAAAGAACCCTTTTGCAACATCCAGTGTTGTCTTGCCTCTCCAAATAATCATTCATGGTTATCCAGAACTTAAGTATGTTTTTACAGAGTTCTGGCAGCTGCAAGCAGGAAACCCTGAAATTTTCACCTCCACACATCAAAGAGTATATCTACATTGTAGAATTAATGCAGGTTTTAATGCTGGTGCCTCACCAAACTACAAATCCCAGGATTCTATAGCATTGAGTTATGATAGTTACTGTGATGTCAAATTGCATTAATTCTGCAGTATAGATGCTCTCACAGTCTTTTGACAAAATCCTCATATTTGTATAACTGAATTTCCCATGAAATGGAACAGATTCTGGAGATCTGAATATTCTTATAGTCACTGATATGATTCTCATATATACACCATCAGGGCTATAGTCTAATGCACCATAGAGCAAGGGAACGAAGAAATAAATACACATACACCTTCTATAGCATTTGTCAGGTAAGGACAATTTGGCTGAATAAGCAAATAAGCAGCATCAGCCCATTGAAATCATACCAAATCTATTCACAATAGATAAAGGTTAAAGTCCTTGCAAAATTATCCTACCTCAGCCATGTTCTCTTGGGTTTTAAAATCTTCTCTCTTTCTGCTTCTGCCTGCTTCAGCCTCTAATGAGAAGAAGCTTGGAACCTCCTCCCTTGCAACAAGAGGGCAGAAAGAACTCACTGAGTAGCTGCCAAGTATGCAAGCTGGTGTAATGATAAGAAGATTTCAAAGGCATTTCTTATGAAACTTTAGCTCAGAATGGAAAGTTTCTGGACATTTGTTAAAAAGAGATGAGAAAGGGACTCAGTACCAAGTTTACTCCATTATAGCCAGGAGGTGAACTGAGCAAATATATACCCATTTAATCGTTTCCAGAACTTGGAAGTAACACATTATAATTCATATAGCTACCTAGGGCAAATTATTGACAGTATAGGAAAACCACATTTCAAAAGTAACAAATAATCCAACTGATATAACAAGTAATATTTTCTACTTTTAAATTTTCCATTGTAAGGTTGTTTGAAGATATTTACAATGTCATTCCTAAAGGTTTTTTATTATTGGAAAGAAATGAAAAGTACTTGGCAACATGGCAAAAAACACAATAAGTTACATTTTATGAACTCCAACTCACAGTGACCAAGTTTCAAATTGTAGTCATGAGTAATGGAAAGGGTTTCATTTTTAAAGTAACTTCCAAAGTTCTGCTATTTTCTAGTTTTTGAGTTCGAGCCAAATTTCCCCAAATATGTATGATATATTTTAATATCATGATATGGAAATAGCATAGCTCCACAATGATACATTTTACAAGGCATTTTACAAAGCTCCACATGGATCCATTTAGGATTGGTTCTGTCACATCTATTACCAGAATGGAAACTGAGTACTACATGTACATAGGTTCTGTTTCTAAATGTACAGCATTTCGCCTCTGAATATTTCTTCTCTTAAACCAGAGCAATATTGTGTGGAGGTGTAGGCACCACATCATCCTTTGGACTTGGAACTTTATGAGAATGGCACTTATCCTGGAAAACAGACTCCATATTACCTGGTTTGGGCAGAGATGAGTTCATCTTGAGCTTTGTTGGAAATTCTGGATTTATGTGATTCTGAAATGAACATCTCCTCCTACATCCTTAGGGATCAAACTGGCAAGGGAAGATTCACGTGGCATAAGGAGTATGAATTTATCTATATTGCCAAGGCGAATATCAGATGATTGCTCAACTACTTTTCTTATCAAGTGGTAATTTTTGTCTTACCAGTTTGAATATGAGTTGACTCAGAGCCTAGAATATTTCTTAAAAATGAACTGGTTACTTTACTCCTTGCTCTGATCTCCTCATAGGTAATCATTCATTAGTGTTTCTGCCATTGTGAAAGATAATATGGAGAGTTACTCATCACAAACAAATTATTGCTAGCATTGCCATTTAAAAATATAGGAAATACAGTCAAAAGTCCAGCTCCACGTATACACACACTCTCTCTTTAGCTAATCTTTTTTATTTAATAATAACTACATCAAATACAAACTGAATAACACATATTACAAACACAAATTACACATTTTGTTTACTGTTATATGCTTTAAATAGTTACCTTACATAGCACAAGGGAACCACCACATGACTCTTCCTCTTACATCAGGTATGGGCAAACTTGGCCCTCCAGGTGTTTTGGAGTTGAAGGCCAAACACCAGGAAGGCCAAATTTTGCCCATGTCTGTCTTACACTATTCATTGCTCAAATGCCCAGTATTTATTTATTTATTTATTTACTCTAATAAATAAATAAATAAAGCCATATCCCTTTAGAAGAAGATGGGAACTGTTGCCTTAAAAGTACTGAGGTCCTATAAATGTGGTTTGAGTCAATGCTCTACTGCCTTTCTCTACCTCAAAGGGGACGCAAGGTGGCTTACATATGTTATTCAGTGCCTTAAACACTTACATGTTCTCAAGGTTTTTCAGGCTGTATGGCCATGTTCTAGAAGCATTCTCTTCTGACGTTTCACCTGCATCTGTGGCAAGCATCTTTAGAGGTTGTGAGATTTGTGGAAACTAGGAAAATTGAGTTTATATATCTGTGGAAGGTCCAGGGTGGGAGAAAGAACTCTCTGATAAAACTCTGGTGTTACCCAGCTCCTGATTGAAGAAAGCAAGGGAAGCAGGGGGAAGTGGGAAGAAGACAGAGGACGTGGGATGGCAGGCCATCCTCAAAGATGGACCTTTCTGAGGTAAGATGAGTCCCCACTCTTCCAAACACTTTCCTCCACTTTCTTCCCACCTTTGGGATAACGTCCTAAACATAGATATGATGTCAGGTTGGATATATGCTTCACAGCCTTCTACGAGCCATATCCCTTTAGAAGAAGATGGGAACTGTTGCCTTAAATGTACTGAGGTCCTATAAATGTAGTTTGAGTCTATGCTCTACTCCAGTTGAGGGACACCCCTCACCTGACTCAGTTATGATTTTATCATGTTTCTCCCAGTACCAGTTACATGCCCTGTCTATTAGGTTTCAAAATTGTGTGGTTTTTATAAACATTTTCTTGAGCATTTTCTAGAATGTTCACATTTATTTATTCAATTTTTCCTACCATAGATATTTGCTTAGAGACCCTGAAACTTCCCAGATTCCATCTGAACTTGGAAACAAAGGTAATGGTCAGGCTAGTTTAGTACTAAGAAGGGTGATCCCCAAAGAATATCTGGTGCTGTAGGCTATATTCAGAAAAAGGCAATAGAAAAAAACCTATGATTATTCCTTGCTTAAGAAAACCCTATGAAATCAATAAGGTCACGATAAGCTGACAGGTAATATAAAAATGCTTTACTTTATGGGAGGGGGTTGCACATTGATTAAATCATGTTTCTGCACATTTTCCAGCTGTACATATAGCTGTTCAATTTCTTTTTAAGTGTATACATGACTTAATGTGCATTTTAGTTCTCCAAAATATACCACAAGCAACATAAGCATGAATTTATGTGGACATGCTGCCTCTTAGTGGGCTTCAGAAGGCATGAAATGGGTCATTTCAGCAAAAATCCTGAAAATACATAAATTATTTCCCATTCTTCCTAAACCATTCCAGCCTTAGCAAAGCTTGTAATGTAAATGTGACCCAAAAGTCCTCTCTCTCCCTCTTTTTTATTACTACCCCTTGTTGACTCCCCAACGGCTGCTCTGGACACAAGCAAAACATAATTTAATTAAATAATAGACCTCCTCCTATGCTTTGATGTGCTTTATCCTTTAGAAGTTGTGCTTCCAGGCGTCTCTCTTTAGCTACAAGGATCTTCAACTGCATATTCACTTTGATGAAGTAAAATCAATGCAAATATTTTCATGTTAGCTCACTAGAATTCAGCTGGGGCCCATAGTTTCAGCATGTTCGGTAAAACACCATGCACTTTCAGCATGATTCAAGAACAATGGCCTGGGATATGAGCAGCAGGATCTCATTAATGAGTGAGCCCCATAGTTTATGACACAATACAATCACCTCTATACATTTACTGGGGTTATAATAATAAACCCCAGTAGGAGCAAAGAAATCCAATGGAAGTGAAAAACCTCAAATAAAGAAATGCTATTTTTTCACTCAAGAGAATATCTTCCTGCATGACTCTATGGTCAACTTCCATTGGAAGCTGACCACAGAGACCAGTGAAAGACATAGAGATCCCTAGAAAGGTGTCCCTGCCTATCTTCGCGGTCACATCTCCCTCTATGAACTAGCACGAACTTTAAGATCTTCCTCTCACTCCCACCACCGTCACAAGCACGGTTGGTGGGGATGAGAGAGAGGGCCTTCTCGGTGGTGGCCCCCCACCTCTGGAACGCCCTTCCTAGAGAAATAAGACAGGCTCCATCCCTCCCCTCCTTTCATAAGAGCTTGAAGACCTGATGGTTTAAACAAGCCTTTGAGAATGACTAGTTCTAGCTCAGGCCCAGATATTGTTGAATATGGCCATATCTTTTTCTACTACTTATCCAGGTCACTTCCTCCTATTAGGCCCCAGAAATGAACAACCATAGACTATACCTATTATTGTTGTTGCCTGCTATAGCATTGCACCTAATTTCCCGGCCTTCTAGAAATTGCTCTAGCCTCAGTCTGGCCTTTTTAAATTGCCTTGAACAGGCAGGATTATTTTAAATATATATGTACTATTGTGATTTTTATGCTTATATTGCTTTGTTAATTTTATATTTATGTTGTTTACTCTGTATGTATTGATGATGTTATTTGGAAACCACTTTGAGACCCCTCGGGGAGATAGAGCGGTATATAAATAAAGTTTTGTTGTTGTTGTTCTCTCTCGAACCTCCAGCATAACTCTTTAGAACCTTTGCTGGAAGCTGTCCATAGAATAACACTTGAGGACATAAAGATTCCTAGTGAGAACATTTTAAAATCAAATCTGAATAATAGAATCCACAAAAGTCAAAACCACAAATATGTGAAATCTAGTATGTATATGTGTGCAACCAAGTATATAGTATGATTCTGCACATGTTGTGGATAGCAGTGTGTGATTCAACTCTGATGGGTTGTCACTGTAACTTATAGAACCATTAACTTATAGAGCCATTAATACTTTTCGTACTCTTACTACAAATAACGGCTATGATGATATTTACCTAATTTCTTGAGAAGAATTGCATACACTATTATTACAAGTTATATTGCTTGCTATTGCATTAAAAATAAAACCAATGAAAGTAAAAAAAAAAAAGCAAACATTAGTTAAAAGTCAATCAATAATAAGATCACAGCCGTGCTTACAAATTAAAACAATTCATGGTCTCTGCCAAATCTTCTATAACTACTAACATCACTGGAAATGACAATATCAGAATGAGTATCCTTTAGCCAAAATGCTTGGGACCAGAAATCTTTTGGATTTTGGATTTTTTTAAGATTTTAGAATACCTCTATTTGCATAAACTTACACAATGAGAAATCTTGAAGTTAGGACCCAAGTCTAGAAGAAGAATTAATTTCTGTTTTATATGCACCTTATGTGGATAAAGTAATTTAATACAACATGTTTTAATAATTTTGTGTATGAAAAGAAAATTTGTGGATACTGAAGCATGATATAGCAAAAGTATAACTATTTTTTTGCCATCCATGGGGACAATTTTGAAGTATTTCACTGAAAGAACTTAGCAGCAACAACAAAAATACAGCTAAAAGACTAAAGGACCAAGTACAACAAGTACATTAAAACTGAACACCCTGGCAATCTAGCATTTCTGAAAATATGTGTGTGTGTGTGTGTGTGTGTGTGTGTGTATGCCAGTCCTTTTACTTAGCCCTACAATGAGCCTTTAACATCAGTTTGATCTGGAAGGTTAACTAGTGACAATACCTATCTTATAGTGAAATGTTTCTTGGCATTCTACAAATCTTAAATTCAAAAGAAAAGGCCAGGTTAACCTCTTTCAATCTGAATGTTTCCCCTTCCCTGCACAGCACTATTTGCGTGCACTGTTAATTAGTTACCACGAAAATCACTTCATACTCATCACACCCATGAGTAAATGTGTGCTGGAGCGAGGAGAAATACTTCTTTTAACTACCAGCCTGCAGTTACAAAATTGCTTAGCGTACAGTATGTAACTCCATTCAGGCTTACCTTTTGTTTTTCCAAGTGTTGTAAAAACGGACTCTGTTCCAGGCGGGTGCATCAAGTTAGCGTTGGAGACCTATAGAGAGTCCAAGAAATTCTGGGTGAAGTTTTCTTGTCCACGTCACACTGCCCTGCCAGGGCTTTTGCTGAGGGCAGGAAGAAAGAATATAGACTCTGGAGGTCTCTGATCTTGTGTCCTTCTGGAAATGTTAATGGCAGCTCTCCTACAGGTAGAAAGTAAAAGCAAAACGTTGTGATTACGCTTTGGTTGGGTGCCAGCAGCAGAACCTGTAAACAGATGTGAACTCACTGACTGTACACACTGTACTCAGATGGAAAATTTAGAGCAAGGTGGCTGTTTGCTTCCCCAAACTAGGTTGATATTTTGAGTGGGGATTGTCAATGTGATCAGTATTGTTTCCAGATATGGTTGCTGCACACAACTGATCACAGAAATTAGGCTCACCATCTGCTTGGCATCTAGAATCATTGTGGATAAGACATGTTTCCCTTTTGGCATATTGTGCTGCCTAATTGCTACATTCATACATAATCAGCATCATCACAAGACCAGTTATCATGTGAAGTTGCTCTTCAAAAATCCTTTTTACAGTCCCAGGAAAAAAAATGTGGGAAAGAGGAAGTTTAGCCTTCTATAGTTCTGAAGATTCCCCACCACCACCATACACACCTACCTTATGCTGCTATTACAGGGGGAAAGCTTCATAATAACATGGAGTGACCAAGATCTTAAATGAAAAGGCATGATTCCCTGACATAGAAAGAAGTTTGAATCTGCTTCACAGCTTAGATTTCCCATCAACAAGCAAACTTTACATTGGGAAGGTGTGACCATCCAACTGTTTGATTACAACACCCATCTTCCTTCATCATTTGCTATGTTGGTTAAGAATTGTGGGAGATGCATAATCTAGAGGGCCACAAGGTGACCATTCTTGATCCTTAGCCATGCATATTCCTTCTTTCACAACTCAGCTGAAGAAGGAAGGTAGGGTGAGAACTAGAAGTTTATGAATGGATAGGATGTGAAATGAATGGCTGAAAGGAGGCATTAGCCATATCGAAAACTATTGAGAACATGTATTTGCATTTTCTAGGTGCCCCATAGTGATTCTATGTTATGCTTTGGCTAGAAGCCCAAGACAATGTTCATTTCAAGTTTTTAAAAAATCCACTTAAAATCTGGTTTATGCCTCCTGCAGAATTCTGGGGTTTGTAGTTTAGGGAGAAGCCTTTAACAGCCTCACTAAACTACAAACCCCGGAATTCTGCAGGAGGCAGAAATCGAATTTTAAGTGGATTTTTTTCTCTAGTGTGATGAAATTACACAAAAAATCCTGGAATGGATCCTTAGCATATAATGCAAACCTATTGTATTTTAAAGAACATAATGCAATTATGCAAAATGTATTAACTTTACTTCATCTTTTACATATTCTAGTTTTATTTAAATCTTAAATCTGCTAACATTAAGTAGCATTAAGTAAGACAAGGTGCACTAGAAAAAATGATAGTGCTTGGTTAGGTGGAAGGCAGTACAAAAAGAAAAAAGATGCAGGTGGCTAGACTCAGCAAGGATACCCCAATCTGGTGTGGTTAAGACTTGAACAAAACTGCCGATAACAGGGTGACTTGGGAGGTCTTTCATTCTTAGCGTCACCATAAGGGGAACAGCAATTAAAAGCAAGCGATGCTTACAATGGTGACTCAATATGCTAAAATAAGTTTGCGCAATGAAGTTCAAAGAGCAGATAACACAGAATGCGCGTGGTTTATTTCCGGTTGCATCTCTGAATGGCTTCCCTTAACTCAACTTCTGAGTTTTACTATGTGTGAAATTTTGTCTAGCCTTTATTTATTTGGTTCAAATATTCCCTCAATTGGTCTGGAAAGATTTATAGTGATTCTACTATGATAAATGCAGCTGATGAAGCCTTCACATTTCTAAATCTTCACATTTGTAACTGTGGGATTTTATTGATGGTTGTTTATCTATTTTGTTCTTCTGAAGAAAGGATTTTAATGTTTGTATTCTGATGTAAGGCGCCTTGGCTCCGTGTTGTGGAGAAAGTTAGGATACAAATATCCTAAATAAATAAATAATTTTGGGTTCTCTGCTACTCCACGGAGGGTATAAAGTGTAACTATTAAACATTTGGAAGAAAGGGTCTAAACCAGTAGTTCTCAACCTGTGGGTTCCCAGATGTTTTGGTCTTCAACTCCCAGAAATCCTAATGGCTGGTAAACTGGCTGGGATTTCTGGGAGTTGTAGGCCAAAACATCTGGGGATCCACAGGTTGAGAACCATGGTCTAAGACTTTAGATGTAGAAAACATGTATGGAAAAATCCAAAAGAGATCTCTACGGAAAGAAGAGTCAAAAGAAGAATGAAACAAAACATGACCAAAGTCCTGACATAGATATTCTAGGAGTACACATGACTGTCAAGATGCTGATGATCTTCTAGCCCATGGTTGTGACTGATTCTTAGGACACTGTTTGTCAGTTTCCTGCTTGTTCCTCAATCTTCCAGGAACTGATGCTTTACACAAGCTTCTTATAAATGACTTATATAGTTCATTGTGGAATTTATGGAGAGCTCTTCAAGATAACCAAACAAATGCAAAGAATATAAACCCAGGTCTGTTAAAAGAATAGCATGCAAGAAAGGATTAACCAATTCCATCAAGCATGACTTAACATTTAGCTTCCCCTTCAAGGTACTTCTATGGCTTTTTCTGTAGGGATGCTTGGAAAAGGTATTTGGGGGTTCTGCAGTTCTCAGAATTCCCCAGTCTGTACAAGGACTCTTTTCCATGGTGTTTGGACTATGACTGCTGCAGGATTATGCAACTGTACTTGAAACAGCTTATTTTCCCAAGTTCTGCTGCTAGCTCTGCCTGTAACAGCACATTTTTAAAAAATCCAAAGAGGTGAGTAAGTAGGGCTTAGTGAAGAACAAGCAAGGCCTTTCAGAATCCTGGAAAACATTGTATACTCTTTTATCAAGTTTAGGAGTAAGTTTCAGTATGAGGGATAAAACATTTTGACAAACTCTGGGCATGTGTTGCCCACAAAGGAAGCCTTTAGAAGTTGCAAAAGATCAGCAAACTTCTAGCACCATCATCCCAGCACCTGGCTAGCCTGTCTCAAGAAACTATCTAGATTGTCAAGTCCTATGAACACATATATTAATGTGTAGAAGCAGGATTGTTCTGTTTTTATAATCATTACCATACAGTGCATCTTGGAAATATATCCACATATATTCAGCTATTGTATAACAAACAACTGGTTTGATCTTCTCATGGTCCAAGGCACTTTCAGAATTTTCCTCCAACACCACAGTTCAAAAGTATCTATCTCCCTTGGCTCAGTCTTCCTTATGGTCCAGCTCTCACATCCATATGGGTAATAGCATTGCTTTAACTATGAGGGTCTTCATTGACAGTGTGTTGTCTCTAATCTTAATTATTTTATCGAGATTGGTCGTTGAAGTAAAGTAGACAGAGCAGCCAACATCAAAAGGAATGTTTATGGGTTAATTCTTTCATCTCAGGATTTTTTTTTAGTTTGGATTTTACAATAGCTGAGATTTGGGAGAAAACTTTGTGTTAAATATAAATATTTATAAGAGATAAATGCAACAGACTGGCTTGATTAGGCTTTGAGATAGCATGTGTGTTACTTCGATATCTGATGTTGGATTTTTGATTAACAACAATATATTTTTATATGTGGACGTCTTTTGGATATAATACATTTAAAGAGATGATTGAAGAATAATAAGTCTCATATGTGTTTGTATGTATATGTATATACACACATATATGAAAGAAGCTTAATGGCATCTATGCCTGAGCTATAACTAGAAAATGGTATCTATGCCTGAGCTATAACTAGAAAAGGTAATATTTGTAGCAAGATATATTTAGAACAATTTCAAAGAGAAAGAAGCACTGCTAGAAAAAGTTGGGATTGTTGCTCCATTACAAGAACAAATTAATTATTTGACATTTCTTATTATCATAGGTTTCCTGTTAAAAGAATTTGATTTAGAGAGTTAGGATACTCCCTTGATTTGTAATGTTAGCTACTAATGTATATAATATTATTTAATAAATGATAACCCTTGTGTTTTGTGTGCCATTGTCTCCATGTCCCCTTTTTCTTTATTATGTGGCTATGTTCTATTTTATGCATTTTGAATTACACACACACACACCTTAAACTGTACATAAACATTTAGGGGGGAAATAGGACAGAGTTTTGACACATTCTCTGCTCAGACAGCTCCCATTCCTCATTCCAGCATTAGAACATTTCTCAGGACAATAAAATACTTAATCAACAAGATGGTGTTGTAAATTAGCCTACCTGCACATTTTGTCTTCCATGCTGATAAAGTATGACATATGAGATGTTGTAGCAATTGTGGAAATCTAATTCCCACAATTCATCCAACTTCATCCCCCATGATACCAAGTCATAAAAGATTAAGATAATAATTGAATATTTCCATTAAATATTAAGCAGCGAATATCCTTTCAGTAAAATCTGTGAAACCCCAGAAAATCCCTACATACAAATTCTACATTCATCAGAAAGCTCCATCCAATATACTCCCAATCTGGGCCGCCTAAGCAGGGTTCAAAACTTAATAGTGCAAGAGATGGCCCATGAGGTCTCTTCCAACTCTATGATTTATAGGGGAACTCAATCAAACATTTCGTCCTTCACATTTTTGAAACAAGCACTGCTATCCAACATTAGTACCTAGAGGATATGGTAATTATTTTTCAGTAACTGTAATTCCCTGGTGCCCTTATTATTAAAAGGATATCCCTTATTTGAGGGTTGGGAATCTTGTCCCTTATAGGACTGGCATGTGTCCCTTATTATAAGGGGGGTTCCCTATTTGAGATTTGAAGGCTTTTCATTTTACATAGACTGAACAAAATGTTTAAAAACTCTAGATTTTGGGGTGTAGTCTCTTCAAAAAAGCAGAAATATGTGCAGTTTATGAATATGGACAAAATATTAATTTTACAGAGAAATACAACTGAAATTGATACTTTCAATTGGTAGTTAAGTAAAATGCAAACTTTTAAATAGCAGTTTCCGAAGCATCAACTCTGTATGTTATGAATTCAGACATTGCCGTTTTGAAAGTATGGCATCACTACCAGTAACATAATCTCTCCAAGTTCTGTTTACAGTCTGATGGTGAATAACATACTGGTAGAACAGTAAACTTAAGTGTTTGGCAAAAGTTTATGTTTTTCTTCACTCTATGACACAAAGGGACTATCCTCATTTTCTCCAGCCTTGAAAAATGTGCTCTGTCCTTATTATGAAAAACGTGTTAGTAATGTTTGCAAAACAAAAGATTTAGCTGTCTGCCGTTCTAAAAGGCCCTTTTTGCTCATTGGAAATGACACAATACATATTCCCTCTCAAGATAAAATCTGTTTTGACTGGAAGCTGCTACTACTAGATGTGTGTTGCGAGAAAAATATATTTGGATTCAGAACTAGTACAGTCAGTCCTCCATATTTGCTGGGGTTAGAGGCACAGGACACTGCAAAGTGGGAAAATGCAAATAAACTCTCTTTTTATGTAAAAGAGCACCTCTCTAGGAATCTTTAGGTCTCCCAGAATGTCTTGTAAGATCAATTTCCATCATCAAATGCCTAGAAAAATGTTATTTCTAAAGACCTCATTCCATGAGTTGTGAAAAGCGGAGGAGATCACCTTCTTAGCACAGTATATCACCCTTTTGCATTTTTCAAATTGCATCACATGCGATTATACTTTATCAATTTCTCCCAAAATGATTGGATTCTGTTCCATCACATGAGAAAGTGCAGTCCCCACTCATTCTGCATTCTTTATTAATTGGGGCAAATGTCAAAATCGTGGTAGTCCGAAACCTCCCATTACTTGTGATTTCTGAAGTCTTGAGGCACCCAGAATCAAAATTCTGCTATTTCAACAATCCCACCCACCCCCCAAGAGTGATTATTTACATTTTCCATTATAGAAAATTTATTAGTTATGCTCATGCCACCAAAATTCTCTGTCTCCTCTTTAGAATAGAAATCGAAAGATTACTTAGGAGAAAATACAGCGAAAACAAAGCAGTGATATCTTGAAATTGTGCTATTCCTTATGCTAACATTAATTTTTAAAAATTACCATTCCAGACTCATGCAGAAGGATGTTGGAAAATTACTGGAGCATCACTCTTCCACAGGAGTCTGCTCATAAGAATGCCCATTTCTCCATGTCACTGGAACAATTCAGCATCCCACATGTAACCTGACAGATCCCATCCCACGTGTAAGGAAGTGGTTTCTCCTGTTTTCAAGAGCATCAGGAGCTCAGAAGAGGATTTCTTCCCAGCTCCAGCCTTCCCCCCTCCCCCACATTTCTCTACACTTCTTACACAGTTCACTGATGAAATACCACAGACAACAGCTGGAAGTCTGCTTGTGTAGTATGATTATTTATGAAGGAGAAAATACAGCAAAAGTCAAGTGGTGATATCTTGCAATTGCACAATTCCTTATGATAACATTAATTCATTTTTTTTTAAAAAAAAATACTGCTTATGCAGAAGGATTTTGAAAAAGAACTGGAGCCTGGTCCAAATCTTCATTTTAGAGAGTCAAATAGGCTACATCCTAACTATGCTAACAGTCACATCCACCCATCTCAATCCATGCCCATGAATAATGGAAGCAACTCAGTGTTATTTTTGTCCAGCTTTCTCAAAGTTGTCTACCCCTACTCAAATTAAATACTTTGTCTTGCCTGACACCCGATTCCTTTCAAAAACCCAGCCCTCTAACAGAAACTTTCTAGTTCCCCACTACAGCTGCTGTCTCTAGCTGACAAATACTTAGGAATTATTTCTTTTGTAGTTGCTAACGACAACTGTGGTCCTTTTTCTAGACATCTTTGGAGTAAAACAATGGAGGACCTCATTCACCTCTTCATTTTCCAGTATGATATAAATACCTCTGGACAGCAACACTGCTACAAAGATAATAAAGAAGCAGAAATTGGAAACAAGAGTTTTAAAAAGTAAGAAAATCACTTTACTTTCTCAGGACACTTCATCTCTGGTTTCAGGTTGACAGAACAAAAGGATCTCCAAGAACAGATTCAATAATATCTGCTATCTCCCAGCTACAGCAATGGAAAGGATCCCTGTAACACTTTTGATACTAGATGTGAAAAAGCTATTTTCAACACATGCTTTCCTGGATTCCAATCCACATCATGACACACTTCACCAGCTGCTGTTTGTTAATAGCCAGTAACTACAGTTTGTACTTATCCGCATTCATTTCCCTCTGACCCCACTGATTGCAGTCCTTCACCCTTTCACCCTTCATGCATTCAATAAAATGTACTACAGGCAGTCCCCAAGTTACAAACAAGATAGGTTCTATAAGTCTGTTCTTAAGTTAAATTTGTGTGTATGTAAGAATAGGTCCATTTTTGAGTGTAACTCCAGCCAAAACTATATATATATATTTAGCCTTGAGTAGCATAGGGAAGGGTTAGCACCCCTGTGGTGTTTGTTTTGCTGTCTGTGCCCCTGTTCAGAAGATTTAACATCACTTTCTGTCCCTTTGATAATCGGTTTTTGAAAAGATTGTTGGAAACAAAGATTGGTGATAAAACTTCAGTGGAGACACTGTTTCCCCATGAAAACTCTTTCAAGGATGAATTTCTTTTTCTAGGGGAAGATTTCTCTCACTTCTTGTCATCTCACCTCTGTTCTTAACTATGAGTCATTTGTAAGTCAAATGTTTGGAACTCAAGGACTGCATAGTTTAAGTATCCAAAGAAACAAGGCAAGTGAAATTACCAAGGGTATGTGAACATAACAAACGTAAGACTTCTAGGTAAGGGTCAGGAGCCACAGTGGTGCAATGGGTTAAACACTTGTGCTCGCTGAACTGCTGACCTGAAGGTCAGTGGTTCGAATTCACAAGATGGGTGAGCTCCCATCTGTCAACTCCAGCTGACATGAAAGAAGCCCACAGGATGGTAACACATCCAGGCATCCCCTGGGCAACGTCTCTGCAGATGGCCAATTCTCTCACACCAAAAGCGACTTGCAGTTTCTCAAATCACTTCCTATACAATAAAAAAAGGTAAGGGTTATTTTTCATGTATTGCTCTTTGGAATGTTAAAAATTCAAGAACTGAAGGGAAAAAAATCATTTACTGGGTGGAAATTCTTAAAGGAGGCAATACCATAATTTTTCTCCCGCCTCATAGCTACAAAACTGCCCCTATTCCCCAAAAGATAAGCTCCTTTCTCAATTTATTCAATTCATCGCTGTACTCTTTTCTCCATTTTGAAACACAATTAAACCTTTTGCTCTCTTAATTAAAAACAAACAGCCCTGAGGCTCCAAAATCTTTTCCTTTCTCACTTTTGGTGAAACCTTGCTTTTGCTTCTGCCAGTTTCTCAAACATATCTACCAAACACCAGAAACTGGTGGGAATACATTTTGCCAAAGATCTGACAATAAAATCAGTGATAGGAAAGAAAATTATTTTCAAAAATCACATTACTAACCCACAGTAGCTGAGCAAGACATTTCATGCCCATTGTGCACAAGATTGCTGTGTCCTCAAAAGCTCCATCCAAAGCAAACATGTGTTTGGAAATGACCTTAGTGTCTAAACTTCATGTAAGGCTATAACACTCGTAACCAAAGTCTGAAATGAAACAATCACTGAATAGATCAGGAGACTAAAAAACAAGGCCCATACATGCAGTTAGGTCAGTCCCCTGGTATTTCCATCTCACACAAATGGTGCATAGTTTTAGAACGAGTTTCCTTTACAATAGCACTTCCTTAATGTTTCTTTTAAACTATCATAATATGAAGTAAGTGTAGAAATTCAAACTGTACCTCTAAAAGGAGTGGACTTTTCAAGGCAGGGTTCTCTGGCTCCGACAAGAAGCTGAAAAAGGCCATACAGTATTTAAACGACAAGATTTCTGCTTGCATTTCCCTCCCAGCTTCCTGACCCAGTGTTTTTATTTTGATGAATTAGTCTGAAGGTCACAAGAATATATTCGAGGAGTGGCTTAGACAAGGAAGTCAATTATTACCCTGCTCTTAGTTCTGCTGGGATGGAAACATTAAAGAAAGTGGTGCTGGTGGTGCATGGAGAGGATGGAGGCACTTTCCTCACTGGAAGATTAGAGGCCAGCTCAGCCCCACAAAAGAATTGAACTATTAAAACTATGAAAACAAAGTGCCCTGTTTTCTGGTAGCCAGTCACATGCTGGGGCTGAGCGGAGGCAATTAAAAGCATGTGTCACTTTTTAAATGCCAGGAGCAATGACAATGTGGGAACATAGGAGTGCTAATTCACATAATGTCTCAGCCTGCAGAAGCCATATTTACAAAGGGTCAGCCAGTATGAAGCAATCCCATGCTCAAGGGATTTCCTACATATTTTTATTGTTATTAGTTAGGATGGTATTGCCTTTTGTATTGCAGACTTCGTGTTTTGGTCATCTTCTCTTGATCCTTAAAATGGTTCATAAAATTTGGTTAATTTGATTTTTTTTAAAAAGAAGAGACACGTGCATTACAAATGTGTCAAAACAGAAGTGATGAGACTTAGCATGAACATCACTTGAGGGTTTCCATTGGAATATGGTGTCCCATGGTGCCTCTTAAAAAGAGTAAATAACTTCTTTTATATTCTGAGGCAGAGATGAGATTCATGTGGCCCTCCAGCTTGCATTTCCCTCCCAGCTTCCAGCAGCACCAGTCACGAGGGAAACTGGGAACTGTAGTCCAACATTTTTTGGAGGGCTATATGAGCCACACCACTGCTGTAAAGGTTATTCTGTGTGAGATAGAAGAGCTCTGAGATGGCCAAAATGTGCTGTATCATCTGAAAAATTATTTTATTTATATCTCATTTTTAAAAAACCATATAAGCAAATCACAAATTTAGTTTTATAGAAAAAACAGGATTTAGCAACAACTTTTAAAATACATCAAAATATAATCCATACATAGTCAGAACTCACCCCCTTAAAAGCCAGATCTGCTGCAACAAATAAAAAAAACAACAGTCTTCCCTAAACAAAACAAAAAAAACATTTGCTTGCAGGAGGAAAGGTGGAAGCTAATTGAATCTCCCACAACTTAGGAACAGCTAACAAGAAAGTTTCCTTGCCAAACATTCCTGTGAAAGTGGTGTGACTGAAGGGAAGCACCCCTCCCCATCCAAATCTTTAAACTCAGCAGGTCCATATAGGAATGCATATTTCATAATTTTTCAGATAGTCTGGATCAAACTGTATAAGACCTTAAGGATCATAAGCAACATTTCAAGTGTAAAATTTCAGAGATGAATGTTTCCTTCTATAGTATGACCCTTGGATCCACAGGGCATATGCTCCTAGACTTCATGTAGATATGCAAAAATGTGGATCATAGTGAACCTTGTTGAGATGAAAGACTTATGGCCCAAGAATGCAATTCAGGCACACTGGAGAATCTAGAAATTGTCCTGAGGTTACCTATTTTGTCAAATGAGGATAAATGGAGCAACACTATAATAGCTCCATATTCTACTTTGATATGGCAACATCTAATGCAATGGTTCTCAACCTGTGAGTCCCCAGGTGTTTTGGCCTACAACTCTCAGAAATCCCATCCAGTTTACCAGCTGTTATAGGATTTCTGGGAGTTGAAGGCCAAAATGTGTGACCACTGATGTAATGGAATCCAGGGATTTGCTGTTTAGGAAAAGCATTTGGAAATTTCAACAGAGAGCTCTTGAATCTCACTAAACTAGTAACCTTGGAATTCCACAGAATGCTGCCATAGTGCTAAAGCAGTATAGTGTGATAAGATCTACTTGCAGGGGCCTTTTAAAAAAATCTGGGAGAACTGAAAGTAATATATCATCCCCATAGATTATAGCTGGGGATACAGGTAGTCTACAACATTTGGTGGAATGCTATAAAATATGACAGAATGGAGTGGTGGAATCTTTATAATTTTGGATTCTAATATCCACATATTACATCATTTCACAAGATGTAGACTGCCTATTACAGATTATCTGTTTTTGATCCTGGTGAAGGTAGTCACATCTGAACAACCTAAATTTCTAATTGCTGTTAGTAATTTAGTTATGGATGTGTGACATGGCTTCCTCGGATAGCCAGGCATGTGTTTGAGCATATATCTGAAGAAAAACATTCTTAAGATCTTATTCGAGATATGTACCACTCAATGGATGATAATTTGTATTACAAATATTGGTAAGTAGAGTAGAACACAGAGCTTCAGAATTAACAATAGCACTTCTGCTTTGTGAAGTAGACTTGCCCACAAGTCTACTTATCACATACAGTATCTCCTTTATCTCCCTATAGGCTGGGGAGAGCAATCTTTGCCTTTCCAGATGTTTTAGATTTCAGCTCCCAGATTCCACCCTGAATGGGGTTGGAGTCCAAAACAACTGGGGCAGTAGTTTTCTGCACCTGCCATAGGCTTTCCTTGTAATACAGTTGGGAACTGCACAGCTCTCCTGACATTGTGCTGTAACACTCCAAATTCCTCCATATTTGGTGGTAGGAGTTGTAATAAAAGAGCATCTACATTAATACCAATTTGTGCTTTATGATGACATTAAGACATTAAACAATATATATGAAGCAAGTCTGTCTTCAATGGGGCTAACATTCATTTAAGTGAAATGCATTGCTGCCTAAAATGACAATCCTTCATCCACTTAACTGGAGCCCCCAGTGGCGCAATGGGTTAAATCCTTGTGCCGATAGGACTGAAGACTAACAGGTTGGAGGTTCAAATCTGGGGAGAGCACGGATGAGCTCCTTCTGTCAGCTCCATGCAGGGACATGAGAGAAGCCTCTCAAAAGGATGGTAAAACATCAAACATCTGGGTGTCTCCTAGGCAACGTCTTTGCAGATGGCCAATTCTCTCACACCAGAAACGACTTGCAGTTTCTCAAGTCACCCCTGACACACAAAAATTCCACTTAATTAGAACTAAGTAATACTCAACCTACTGGAACTTACATATAGTTAGAAGTTTTTCACTACCAATCTCCCAAAATTTCATTTCTCTATCCCTTCACTACCTGAAGATTTTAAGATGTGTTTACTAATATTCGCACTGGCAAAACCCTTGCTGGGTATGCTGATCTTGTTGAACAAGTTGAGCTTGTTTGGCAAGTTTCTTGTCCAGGTGAAATTGCTTTTTGGCTAATAGCCAGTCTTCCTGTCCCAACAAGGCAAAATTCAGTATATTTATTCAAAGGAATTTCACTGATTTCATTTGGGGTTGCTTCCTTTAAAGTGAATGGAAGAGTGCCATTATATTGCCACTGTTGAGGTTTTCTGTCTCCCTTGAAAAGAAAGAAGGCAGTGAGGGATAAAGGAGCATCTGTGAGGTCAAATGATATATTTCAGTATAAGCTTTAATGGACTTCAATTAATTTCATCTGATGCATAGCTTGAAACAAGTTTGTGTGCTGATAGGGTCAGAGGTATTGTCTTGATTGAAAAGAATAGGTGGGTTCAGATTTTGCATACAATCATAGACAAGCAAGAAAAACAATGTATAATGGAGAGAGGTGTAAGTCTAGTGCTTTGATGTGGATTCAGAAACAGTAATATATGTCATAAAACAGGCAAGAGGACAATTCTTTGATTCATGAAAATGATTAATGTAAAACCATACCTAGACAGTCAAAACAATGCACTGAAGTACTATATAAATGAGATCAAAGGGTGTCAGATTCATTCAAGAATGAACCATTTGAGGATGAACCCACAATTTTAGAAACTCAAGGCACTTGGGAGAAATAAATCACCAGGAACAGATGGCGTGCCAATTGAACTGTCCCTACTAAATTTTAACTAAAATATATCCAAACAAATATGAAAAACAAAAGACTGGAAACACTCAATATACATTTCAATCACCAAGGAGAGGAAAACTAGGGATTTCAGTAACCACCAGATCATTGCATTAATCTCCCATACAAGCAAAGTGTTACTCAAATTCTACAACAACAACTTTTACCATACAAGGAGTAAGAAATACCAGATGTCCAAACACAGTTGAGGAAAGAAGAGAGAGGCATCAGGAATTATATTGCAAACATACATTGGCTAGCAAAGCACACCAAAATTTCAAAATAAATTCAGCCTTTACTTTGTAGATTATAGCAAAGCCTTTGATTGTAAAATCATGGAAAACTATGGACCACATTTTTTAAAAAATGTGTATGTCACAGCATTTGAACACCTGTGTAACCTGTACTCAGGACAAAAGGCCACCATTAGTACAGAATATGAAGGAACAAAGTGGTTTCCAACTGGCGAAGCTGCATTTTATCACCCTGTTTACCTACATTAAATTTATCACACATAATGATGGATTAGACTGTGCAGAAAAAGGCATAAAATTTGATGGAAGAAACATCAACAAGTAAAGATTTGCAGGTGACACCATACTACAAGCAGAACAGCAAGCTGCTTAGACTTGGAACTACTAAATAAACTAAAAGAAGAAAATACAAAGGCAGTTATAAAGGTAAAGGTAAAGGTAGTCCCCTGACATTAAATCCAGTCATGTCTGACTCTGGGGTGTGTTGCTCATCTCCATTTCTAAGCCAAAGAGCCAGCGTTGTCCGTAGACACCTCCAAGGTCATGTGGCCGGCATGACTGCATGGAGCGCCATTACCTTCCCGCCGGAGCGGTACCTATTGATCTACTCACATTTGCATGTTTTCGAACTGCTAGGTTGGCAGAAGCTAGGGCTGACAGCGGAAGCTCACGCCGCTCCCCGGATCGAACCTGCGACCTTTCGATCAACAAGCTCAGCAGCTCAGTGCTTTAACCCACTGCACCACTGGGGGCCCCTAAGGCAGTTATAGTTGAACGTTATAGAAAAAAAATGACCACTCATTACGGGCAGTCCCCGAGTTACAAACACCTGGTTTACAAATGACTCATTGTTACAAACAGGGTGAGAAACCAGGAAGTGAGAGAAA